TAAGCAAAACAATGTGCAAATGGTCAGAGCAGTGAAACATCAATGTAATATTTCTTTATGGTTAGCATCCATATCTTACTGCTGTGTTATTGAAGTGCCATCTCAGTTCAGGGGCATCCATAGACTTTATGACGCATCGGAGTAGCAGAGACTGACCAGATGTCAGGAAAATCGTCTGAGCCTTTTGCCCATCCACTTTCCTATTGAGATCTGAAAGATAACCAACACAATTCAAAGAAGGTTTTCATGTTAAACCAAAACCCCTATATAACCCACATCCTATATCATCAAAATAATATTTGCTTTCAAACAGTGCTGAAATTTTCCTAGCAAGTTTCCAAGCAATTAATTATTAAACTTGCTAAACTTGTTACCATTGTGATAGATATTATAATATCTGATACTCAGTATCTAAAGTTTCTGGGTTTAAGGTAGGAGTCATTTGTTGATGTATAATTTTAACATGTATAGTACATATATATATTGTATAGTGACATAAGGATTGCACAGCTGAGTATTTGGGTTATTATCAGTGTTGTCAAATCCGTGGTTTTGCCGCAGAATTGGGCTAAATTAACACTGTTGCCGCAGGTTGTTTTTCATGTCCGTGGGTTGAAGCGACCCCAATAACGCGATATTTAGCCCCTGCAATACGAATTTTACCATGGGAACCTTGCCAAAAAACATGTATTTTATCCCCCGGAATGCAATTTTTACCAGCAGGGGACCTCCCTAAAAACACCATTGGGTTAGTTTTGAGTAGCAATTGGGCGGGTTTTGTTGTGAACATCTGGCAACCCTGGTTATTATATATAAAAGGAACAATGCTGTTATATAAAATATATAAGGAACAATGCTGTTCCTTATATAAGAAAGCAAATATTTGAAAAACTTACTTTCAGTATCATAGTAAGTAAAATAGTTCGCTGACAAAATTTAAGCAATGTCTTCTTGTCTCATGACCCACAGATACGTACACTACAATAATACTAAAATGTTAGAGGTCAGTAAGATTTTTTTAATACATTAAAACTTTATTCAGCAAGGATGCTTTAAACTGTTTCAAAGTTACAGTAAAGACATTTTTAATGTTACAATGGATTTTTATTTCAAATAAATGTTCTCATTTCATTCATCAAAGAATCCTGATGAATATATTATGGTTTCCCCAAAACTATTAAACAGCACAAATGTTTTCAACATTAATAATACTAAGAAATGTCTCTTGAGCAGCAAATTAGCACATTAGAATGATTTCTGAAGGATTTTCAGTAATGGCTGCTGAAAATATTATTTTTGATCAAATAAATGCAGCTTTGGTGAGCATAAGAAACTTTCAAACACGTTCAAAAACTGTACAGACCCCAAACTTTTGAACGGTATTGTGTACTAGCGTATTAAAAATCATGTCAACACATTACATACCGAAATGATGAAGCTGAGTACATTCTTTTTCCAGGGAATTACTGGCACAGCATGTAATATTTGGACTTTCATGATGATCATCGTCACTCGTCACAATGCTCTCTGTCTTATACCACTTATTTTTCATGCCCTCCTCTGGATTATTTCTAAAAGGAAAACAGTTGAATCACGGACATACAGTTACAGCAGCATTTTATGTAATAAATTCTCCCAACAAGAAACCAGCTCTTCAGAAGCAGTATCTACAATGGTAGCAGGCCATAATGTCATATTACCTGTTACCATACCACCTGATGGTTGGTTTTGGGTTCCCCTCAGAAGTACACACTAATTGAGCTATATTTGTAGACCCTGCTTTTGCGATAGCTTTGAGCACTGGAACTGATGGCCTCCCTACAGATAAAACAAAGATCTTAAATTAAATGTAACAATTCGGGCATTAGTATCAATATAAATATATTTCCTCCATTTTATGTTTGTGTCTGACTTACTTTGTGGTGACCGAACAACTGTAACACTATGATTGCCACAGATTACAGTGTATGTTTCATTTCCAAATCTCTCAGTGTGCTGTAATGCATGCATAGAGGTATTTATCCTGTAGGAAGCATATCAAAATTAGAGATATAATTTGAAAATACCAGCATCTAAACTTATAATTTATCAATGACATATTACATATCAAGTGATGTATTAGAGTAATCCATTCAAAACTTCATTAAACAATCAATACGGTATGAACCTTTGGCAGAGACATTTAAGCCCATCTGAGCCGTTTTGTTGGCATGCACTGTAAATTTCCACAGTTTGTCCTTCCGTGAAATCCAGTTTAATTGGGTCAGGACTCATCAAATGAGTCTCTTCCAATGTGCATCTTACAGTCTAAAAAACAAAAAACAAGTGCAATGACGTTAATCATCAAAATAGCAAGCATAGCTTGACAGTAACACTAAAATACAAATCTCTGTGGTCATTACGGCAATTTCTGTAAAATCATCAGTTCTGCTTTTATTTTTAGCTGCTTTTTAACTGTTAAAAACGGGCTAAGCCTTGAATGCAAAGTAAGAAAAAGACCTTATGTTAAACAATCAGAAGAAACACAAAAAGGGTCATTACATAAAAAGGGTGTTTAAATATGTTTAGCATTTAACTATAATATAGGCTAATATTCACATATTTTATTATTAAATGCCTTAGGAATGAATGAATACTTTTACTGTTTTATTAAAGACATTTATATAACAATGGTTTTATTTTTTCATCTTCCTTCAAGAGAACCCTTTTACAGTGATGATACTTTAGCAGCAGCATCAACACTTTAAGGACAAATCTCTTTTTTTAATCACTTTATATTTTATAAAATTAACAACCTTGTTAACCTTAATTTTTACAGTACAAACTGAAAGATTATAATGTTTAAATCTTACAAAAAATGTGCCTAAAAATTGCCATTTATAAATTAACAAGGCATCGATGTGCCTACATTCAAGTTCATGTAAAATCACTGGTGAGAAAAATCTTGCTATGGTGAAGTTCATCTTCAGGAATCTCTAACCTCAGTCCTGTGGCATATGTGGGTGAAGCTAAAATATCTGCTTGAAATGAGCCTGAGAACTACAGGCAGAAAGCTGTAGTGAGCCAGAGAGGGGCTGATAAGAAGAACTTTACCGATCCATCAGTGTCACATTGGGGATGAGTCTCAGTTGAACCGTCCGTCACCGCGCTGCCGCGAGCGCTCCAGTGCAGCACGAGCAACACTTCGGTGCAAGATAAAGAACAACACAAATATGAGAGAAAGACAATGGAACTAAAAACAACTATACTACAATAAATGAAATTGTATAACTTACAAATCAGCACAATTAAGCACATAAAATCCATTAAAATGCGCTCATAATAACATAAATAGCCTAAACGAACTAGATATTAGAGTTTGTCACCAGTTCACTTGCCTACAAGTAACAAATGTTTTGTCCGACTTACCCACCAAAAGACTTACCCACCAAAAGCCTTTTTCCTGGACGCATCGCGTGAAGGCATAACAGCTTCTTCCCCGACCCTTGTCTGATCATGAAATAGGATGGACAGCGAACAAAGGCACAAAGACTTTCACTTCAGCGTATGACACAAAACATCACTTCTTAATATGGCACAAAGACAGTCGCTTCAGCACATGACACAAAACTTTACTTCTACTAACGTTTAGGCACCCCTTTAAATGCCTCAGGTTGGGAATTAGTCTGAGAGCAACTAAAAGAAGATTCCTTTGTGTTTTGGCAAGTAGATTGCCCTGACTTTAGTTATGTTTAATTACATTAAAATATTTAATTAAATTAAATTAAATATTTAATTTCATTTAATTTAACACACACACTGTGCAAAAGCTTAGGCCATTAGTATTTAAAAAAAAAAAAAAAAAAAGGTTTAAAGCCAGTTATTTCTATTTTTGCTGTAGTGTGTCAGTAAATATCAGTTTACATTTCCAAACAGTCCTTCTGCCATTAATTGTAATAATCCAGTGAGATTTTTGTTTGCACAAGGAGTCTGACAACAGCCAGTGCTCCACACAGAGATCTGATCTGATCATCATCCAGTCTGTCTGGAATGACATGAAGAAACTAAATCCAGAAGAACTGTGGCAGTGTCTCCAAGACGCTTCAAGAAACCTACCTGCAAAGTATACCTGAAAAAAACTATGTGCAAGTATATAGGACAAAAGCTGTTTTAAACCAAATGTTGATTTTAGTTAATATAAATGTATTAATTTCTGTATTTTGTTTTGTTTATATATATATATATATATATATATATATATATATATTTGAAGTGGATCAAAACCTTTCATCAAAG